ATTTAGAAAGTTTACCTTTATTTGTGTGTGTGTGTGTGTGTGTGTGTGCGCGCGCGTGTGTATGTGTGTGTGTGTATGTGTGTATACCACATAAGTTCGGTGTCCATGGAGGTCAGAAGAGGTTGTCAGATCCCTTGGAGGTAGAGTTAAAGTTGGTTAAGAACTGCCTGATGTGGGAACCGAACTCATTTGAGTCCTCTGTAAGAGAAGTATATACTCTTAACCCTAGTTATCTCTCCAGCCTCTGGTTTCCATTTTCAAAGACATTAAGGCACTCTCCAAATTTGAGCCCATCCTAGGCTATAGCAAGACCCTGTCTCAAAATCCTCAAACCAAATAAACAATAACAACAACAAACCACTAATCATTAGACAAAATCCATGGTTAGCTTGTAATACTTTATCCTTCCTCCATTATACACATTAGAGATTACAGGCTTATAACATCTTAGTTCTTTTCTGAAACCATGATTGCCCCAGATGCTCTCTTGCAACTTTTTTTTTTTTTTTTTTTGAGACAAAATCTCACTATGAAGCCCTGGCTGGCCTATAACTATGTAGATCAAGCTGGCCAACTTGAGATCTGCCTGTCTCTGCCTCACAAGTGCTGGGATCAAAGGTATACACCACCATACTCAGCAGAAGTCTACAGAATTCTTATCCTTTAAAAGTATGTTTAATCAGGATGTGCTTCATATATATTGATGGGTTATATGTCAATTCTCTTGATACCTACTGTACATTTAGAATCTCCAAATTCCACTTGAACTACATTAATAGATATGTCCAATTTGACAGTGGGATGACTGCTCCCATATCATTTCTGGAAGGCTGTCCATCAGGGGTGTCACTTGTACTTATACTAAGCCATCTCTGTCCTCCATCTCTTAGCATCTTCCAATAGTACTTTGAATGTTCAACTGCATTCATTTATTTCTGTTTTAGTTATATTCATTCTGTTCCTTGCTGTTTAGGTTTATGAGTTTATAAAGGTGAGATCTGGTTTACAGGATTTTCCTCAGTTCTGTATACTTTTTCATTTCATTCTGTTTAAATCACCTCCAATTAAAAAAAAATATTTTATTTTTAACTATGTGTGTGTGTCTATATGGGTATGTGCATATGAGCATACATGCTTACAGAGGCCAAGAAAGGGCAGCAGATTCCCTGGAGCTGGAGTTATGGGCAGTTGTCAGCTGCCCAACGTGGGTGCTAGGAACCAAACCCTGGTTCCTCTGCAAGACTATGCGCTCTTAACTGCTGAGCCATCTCTCCATCCCGCTCACCTAAATTTTTTTTATACAATATTTACTGTGCAAACCACTGACAGGGGCTTTTCTTCTCATCCTTGGTGTTTGTTTTCTTTCAAGCTGAGTTCATCTGTTTTTTGCATCTTAGTCACTCTTCCTCACCCCTGGGGCCATGCTAGCGACATTGTCAGCATGTTTAATAAGGCATTTTTCTCCTTTTTATGGTTGCCTGGACAACTTCTCTACTAAGTGCTCTTACAAATCATGAATTTTCTGAGGTACTCTCCTACATAAGCTCTGCTTGTCTTTTCCTTAAAACTACAATTTTAATTCTCCCATGTCTGCAAGAAGCAGAAGGAAGAGCTTAGGTTTTACTCTCCCTCTCTCAGATTCCCCATAGGGCAGGACTTGCTATCTCCAGTTGTCAGTTCCTTTGGGGTCCACCAGTTACAGGACTTACTGCACCTGAGGCCATGCACTTCCTACAGGAGCCCATATCCAGTGACTAGATGAGGTGGGAGTATAAAAGCCTGGTTACCTCAATAACATGGTAAGGCAGCTCTAATAGGTGTTCCCTGCCAGGCTAGCCAAGGTTTTGTCAACCCAGCATTACAAGTTTAACTTCTCCCTCTGCTTCTCCTAATCCTGCTTCTTCTCACAAGTCATTGGTGTCTAATAAACCTTGTTTCAGTGTCTGCTTGCAAGATTTTACAAGGCCTCTCTGCACTCAGCAAGAAGTGTGTTTAATCCTTGATCTACTTCTTTTGAGCTCAGTCTGGTCACAGGAAGATGGCAGGACCCTCACCCTGCCTTCCTCTGTTAAGGCCAAGGGGTTTCTCTATCATCCATCTCTCTACAAATGAGAGCACATTGGGTTTCTGTCCCAGAATTTGGTCCACTTATCATGACCCGTCAGTTGACCTGACTGGGAACAGATGGGAGGAACAGAGCAAAGCCGTGGCCTATCTCTTCTGCGTGTGCTTTTCTAAGCTGAAGAATTAGTTCTTCTTTCCTTGTTAACCTGCTGGTAACTTTTCAAAAACTATTTTTGCATAACCAATTTACATTTTTATGAGAAAAATAATAGACATTCATAGTTACATTTTTTCACTACTAAAATCTTTTTTGAAATACAATGAAGAACTATTTGTCAATCGCGCTAAGACATTCATTCCCAGAAAATTATACTAAGAATATCAATTGAGCAAAAGGATCTGTGTAAGGTGTTCCCCACAGCATGACCTGCAAGAAAGAAACATTGTGGTGTTCCCAGGAACTAAACAAGTGGCACAGCTCACTAGAGGGTGCACTTTGTATTGGCATTATGAAGACTGGGTGATGGAGAACCAGAAGAGTCTTACAAAATCTGTCTTTCATAATCTGGAACTGTGCTGTATAAACCCACACACTCCAGGTCTCTTCTGCACTACCTGTGTCCCTACCCCCTCAGCTCCACCTCCCCAGCATCCTTTTCTGCTCTTCCATCAGTTCTTACCCTACTCTACCACCACCTGGGAGAGGCTCAGATACCATCCTCTTAGCTGGATTCTCTGGCCTGATGCTCTCAGAAATCTTACCTGTCTCCCATGACCATGAGCCAGTCAAGACCAGAGGGGTCTTGTTCAGAGGCCTGATGTATAGAGTGAGTAGCTGAGAAACAGTTAAAGAGCAAACAAAATTACAGACAAGGAATGAATTCATTATGTTAATTCTGGACAGGTAGAATAGGGGTGATTTTTCTTTCTTTCCATTTTTCTTATTTTACAAATTACTAAAGAAAAATCCCCAATAAAGTTAGTGTCACAAATCCCCAAATGTATGCAGTGCCTCAACTTTTAAAAAAGTAGACATATACAAGCCACGATTGGATAGCAAACACAAGAAAACAAAAATCCCAAATGAATGCAAAGCTGCTCTACTTGTTTTAAAAAAAAAAAAAAAAATCTATTTTTAGAACTCTACCCAATGTTTATGTTGTCATTTAGCTTGTCACTTAGCTGTTATGATGCAGTTAAATTCATCATTCATCGTATTTTCAGCCAGTGTTGACTATAGCTAAATGCCATCGCCATTAAGGATCCCAAACTTCTCGATTTGTAGTCTACTCAACAACTCACAGGCATTGATAGGCTGTGATGCATCGTGGCTTCACATTTCACTTTCCTCTTGGGACAACTCTCTGAGGTAGGAACCATTATTCTCAGTATAGATAAGAGAAAACAGAGGCCATGGTTATACGAACTGTCCAAAGTCATACAGCCAAGAAGCTGTGGAACCCAGGCTTGCACCACTTGGCTTCCTATGCCTCAGGGCTGCCATGGGGATTGAAGGGGAAAGCAGTACCAGGCACTGCAAGCATTCCTTGAAGAACTCACCCCACTGTCAATCCCTCTGTGCTTCCACCTACCAAGTCATAAGCCCTACCACTCAGTAAGTTTCCCAAGGAAGAACAGGGAAGCCTCTGCCTCAGTCCCACAGAGCCCCAAACCCACTCAAAGTATCTGCATAAGGCCTTAGGACCCTGCCACACAGGATATGGGCAAGGACAGGTGAGTTAGGGTCTGTGGTCTGTTAGAAATGTCCTCCATAGGCTCAAGTATCCAATCATTTTGTCCCCAGTTCACAGCACTGTTTAGGAGGTCATGAAATCTTAAGGTGTAGCCTTGCTAGAGGAAGAGTGCCATGGGGCATCTTTGAGGGTACACTGCCTTGCCCCACTTCCAGTTCACTCTGTGCCTGTGTTTGTGGTTCAAGATGCAAGCTCAGAGTTTCCAGCTCCTTGCTGCCATGATTCTCCGCCATGAAGGACTCCTATCCTTCTGAAACCATAAGCCCAAATAAACTCTTCCTTCAAGAAGTTGCCTTGGTCATGGTGTTTTGTCACAGCAACAGAAAAGTGACTAGTACCAGGCCCATTCCACCAAACCCACTGCTAGCATACCTTCCTCTGCTGGGTTCTGGAGCTGCTGCTGTTGGCACAGGGAGCGAAAGGTGTCTTCTTCCTGCCAGATGATCCTGTGTAGAATGATCCAGGGCACCACTGAGGAAACATGGGGCTCCTTGGGCTCCTCTTGTACAGCCATGCTGCAGTCAATGACCTGGCAAAGGGGACCAATGTATCACAGCAAGGTGTGTCCTGCCCCAACCCTCCTAAGAAGACCCTGTAATGCAGTGCCTTCTGGGAGAGGTGAGGCATATGGTCTGCCCACCCCTACCACTCTAACGTAGAAAAATTCACCTAGCAGCACCCCAGCACATCACCAGAGTTCCACAGTACTAATAACAGTCATGATCCTCCCTCACGCCACATTCAGTTGCTGAACATGGCATGGGGAGCTAACAGACCAGGGGAAGAGAGGCACGGAAAAGCTACATGAGAGCTGTGAATCTTACAGACGCCACCAGGAAAGCAGGCACAGCAGCACATAAGTCTCAGAGAAAGAATGGTGCAGACAGAGGCAAGTCTTTGAAAGAAGGTTTCCAGGTAAATGGCTGTGATGAGCCTAACACCCTGAGAGGGCAGAGCAAGATGGCAGAGGACACACTCACAGGCAAGAACCCAAGGGTGGCCCAGAATGGCTTAAGCCAACAAAATGGAAGAGGAGGAGAAGGTGGGGATCAGTGTACCTTGGCACACTACCCAGAGAGAATGTGAAGCATTTAAGGAAGGGAGGAGACATTCGTATTTCAGATTTTGAAAGGTGCCTCTGTGGCAGAGTGGTGGCTGGGGTGGAAAGGTATAAAGTGTAGGAAGGATATAAGGCATGTGTTGTCACAGTTCATGTAAGAGATGGAATGACCTAGACTATGGCTGAACAAGGAAATGGAGGACAGAAATAAGAACTAGAGGAGTGAATGATGTGGTCTGGCAGGACTTACTCATGGTCAGAGTAGGATCTGGGAAGATAGCATAGGACACTGAAACGAAGGTTCTTTGCCTCAAGCATACTTTAGTGACACAGGGTGATGTGGTTAATCCTTGGCTTGAAGGGCCACCCCTTAGCTGGAAGTGCTAGGGTGGTATGGGGAGTACAGAACCCCAGTCTGGAGCCAGGCCTAGACTTCAAGTCCCACTCTCCTCTGGCTCACAAAAGGCAGACTGTGTGTCCTCTCTGAGCCTGTTTCTGCCCTTCTGGAATAACCCTTTCTTAGGGAACCTTGTCACACCATGTGCTATATCATCTCAACCTTTTCCTAGACCAACCAGTTCCCAGGAGGTTTTCAGTCTGGGCATAGCTACCTCCTCAAACTCCAAAGTTCCAGCCAGAAAGGCCAATGTGTCCCTTTGGGGATGCCTAACTCCTAATACGTATCAGTGAACAGAAGGGACTATCAGAGTGACACACCTGCTGGGGCTGTAAAAACAGTGAGGAGTTACCTGAATGAGGTTGTTGGTGAGCCGGACAAGGCCATTTGTGGAGGATGATTCCTTTAGGATGCTGCCACTGCTGTCTGAAGAGAGTGTCTGCTCAATGCCTAGCAGCAACTGGGTCACTGTGGCTACCCATTCTTCCTTGGCTGCAGGCTCACTTGAGTTCACCATCTGCTGGACAGCTTCATTCAGAGCCACATCAGAGCATTCAAAACACTGATTGTGGTCCTTCAGCCGGAGCAATGAGTCCTAAGCACAGGAAGAAGCACAACGAAAGGTGTGCAGTAAGCTCAGCATACTGGATTGGATCTTAGGCCAGAGATTAGAAAGAAGCAAGGGATGGTGCAAAAGAAAAGAAGTTCCCCAGAGCAACCAAGGCTCCACATAGCCTTAGGGCATCTGGGAAGACAGCCAGTAATTTGGGTGCAATGGCAGTACAAGAAGCTACTAGTCTGGGAGCTTTTAGAAAAATGCTTTATACCTTTGAGCCTGAACTTCCTCATTCATAAAGCTGGGACTCTGGGAATGAGGCCAAGAGTTGGCAAGTAGCAAGGCAGAGACAGAGTGACTCTAACTCCTCTCACCTCTGCCTTAATGCATCATGTCCCTCCATGGGACATGGCGTGGGGGGACTCAGCAGGGGAGGGGCAGTATGCTAGGGAAGGCATGAGCTGAGGCAACAGAAAGGACAGCTGGCCAAGTACTGCTAAAGTCATTATTCTGTGAGTCTCTTCCCCAATGCCCATGTGGGGCCAAGGGGCTAAGCTCCTCTTAGCCTCAGCCATGACAGTACTCCATGAGTATTCAATGAGCTGATATACACATCCTACTCAGCACAGTGCCTAGTACATGGATAGCTCTCAAAACACAAAGAGAGCTATTACTTCTATTTTAAAACTGCTTCTACAGAAGCCATCAACTTTCTACGGAGCTCCTTTGTTGGGGCAGGGGGAGGCTTAAATACAACCCATTTAAACACCAGGGATATTGACTCTCATAATGGTTGGTGCATGAAGAAACAGATTGTCTATGACTTCAGAGATCTGACTGACTATTTGTGGGCTAGCAGGAAGCACTGCCTTCCCTGTGCCCATCTGGCTCTGACCTCATCACAGCCCAGGCTGGTAGCAGCTCTTGTCCAGTTCCCCATGTACAGTTGTTATTCTCTGAGGTAGCATTTAACAAACATAGGAGTAGAAATGCCTATGGAGCATATTACAAAATTTGAACATAAAACTTTCTCCCAATTTATCTACCCTAATTGTCAGGAAAGAGCACCTTTGTTTCTTTGGAGAAAGCAGTCTCCTGAAATAGGAGACCACTGAGGTGGGAAGTACCTACAGAGGATTATGCATAGGATCCAAAATTCAAGATGGTCCCTCCTCATCAAAACACTGAACACACAAGAGGCAGATGAGGACAACAGGCCTCACACTTCATCCAGATTCTGTCAAAGCCAGGAAAAGACAAGGATCCACCAATAATGCTCTAATAGGACACAAGTCTCAAGACCAGAAGAACAAAAAACAAGACTAATTGCCAACTAATGTGGAGACCAAATTACCACCCTCTGTGGGTAACATTACCACAAACCCAAACAAAACAAAACAATCAGAAAACAGTAAAAAATAATGGGAATTCCATGAAGAGATGGGGTTTAAAACAAACAAGCAAAAAGCAACGGTGTTTTCATAAACCACCAATACACAGAAGTATAATTAACAACTCAAAAATATTAACAGCCAAGAATTGACTCAACAAGAATGTGTTCATTATACTGAGGAACACAAAAGGCAACTTGCCTAAATTGGGAGATTTAGGGAGGATTCCAAGTTCAACCCCCACTCCAGAGAAGCCAAAGGAAGCATGTCAAAACATGTAAAACATAAAACATGAACACTGCTAGAGGCAAGTGAGGACAAATCTCCTTTTGTCTTTGCTGGTGTACCTCCCGCCTGCCTCCCCTTTAGAACACTGCAGCCTTCCTCTGACCACATCAGATGCTTGCAGGAGTTCAAGTCCTGTGTGTAAATAACAGTGAGATGAGCACTTGTCCAGTCTAGGAAAGGTTATCTAAGAATAAGAAACAAAACCACAATGAACAAAATCATAACCATTTGCAAATATGAAAAGATTTTGACAAAATAAAAACAGAATTTTTGTATATAAAAACAAACAAAACAACAATGAAAGCTATGATTTAATAACAAACAACATATTGGCAAAAAAATTTTTGCATGATTAAATGAGAAATAGAGTATCTTTAATTAAAAAAAATTTTTTTAAAAAATCATTCCAAGTAGTAAGAAAACACTCTCAATAGGAAACTGAGCAACAGCTAGAAATTACTTGTTCTCAGAAGTGGGAGCTTACATACCACAAAGCCTAGGCCTCAGCACAGTTCTATGCCCCTCCCCCAGTAAGGAGCTTCCTGCTACATCTAGTAGTTGATGATGTCACTGGCAGGAACAAGACAACATCTGAACATTAGAGCCATCTCACAATTGGAGCAGGCTGAACTCTTCCCTCCTGCTTGCCATTCAGATGTCCTGGTTCCTTCATCAGTGGTTATTACTCCACAGACTGCCACTCTAGGCAGCCTGCCATGATGATTGAGACTGGACACATTTCACTTGGTCTCAGCAAAGTCCTGTCTGACCTCCTAGGCCAGGAGCTAAAGCCTGCCTCTTCCCTTCTTCACCCTCTCCAAACCTTCACCTTTCCTCCCTTTCTACCATGGCTGAGATGCCTCCTCGTTTGTTCACACAGCGGCACCTCTTAGGTATTTCCCAGTCCTAGAAAGTTAATGATTAAAATGCTGCATGTTATATGAATAAAAAGCTGGGATATGGCTGGACTCTCCAAACTGAAAGAGAAGGATCTAGTAATTAATGTGCATACTGTGATTAATGCATGAACCATAAAAGGCCAGGATTCCAGATTTGCCACCTAGAACATTACTATCATTTGTGTTTGTCTCTGTCCAATTCAGAACAGAGGTTGGTGGTAGTAATGATGGGGGCACCTCCATGCTGCTTGCTATGTGCTAGGCACAGTGTCAACATACATTAACTTGTATGTTGTATTAACTTGTATAATCTCCACAACAGACCTATGAAGTGGTAACACTAACCACCACCATCCTAGAGATGAAGAATGGAGGTAAGTAACCCCAGGGCCCAGGCTCTCAAAAAGCAATTACTTCCTAAAGAACAGAGCATAAAGGGAGTCAGGAGGGTACATGCAGCTTCAAAAACAATGCTGGTGCTTTTCTTCTTCAACTATGCAGTCATAAATAGGTCTGTGTTTTATCTTGATTCTTTTTGTTTGTTTTGAGCCCAGGTCTCCCTGTAGCCCCAGCTGGTCTGGAACTTGCTATATAGACCAGGCTGGTCTCAATCTCACAGAGATCCTCCCGCCTCTGCCTGTGCTGGGATTAAAGGCATGTGCCACCACACCTGGCATTATTTGGATTCTACATTGTATACATATCCGTTTTATATCTACTTGAAGTTAAATTAAAAAACAATAAAAACAAAGCCGGGCATGGTGGCACATGCCTTTAATCCCTGTGAGTTCGAGGCCAGCCTAGTCTACGTATCGAATTCCAGGTCAGCTGGGGCTACAAGGAGATCCTATCTCAAAAAGACAAAAACAAACAAACAAACAATAAAAACAGAGATGAACAAATGAGTACGAGTGGATGTGTAGATGATGCCCTGACCATTCTTTCCTCCTCTGCCATGCAGAAGTTCAGGCAAGTGTGGGCTCACCGTGAGTCACATATATTACTAGAATCTGAACTCCTAAAGTATAACATTCTCCCAATCTTGACCGAATCCACTGTCTAGTGCCGTCCTAGAGGTACACCAGACTCTCCCCACATTTTCCTTCTAGGTTTGTGTTTTCAAGGGCTATCTCAGAACTTCCAGAAAACACACACATACTCAAGTAAAGACAGTATAAACATGTATGGGAACCCAAGGAGAGAGCACACACCTGCAGCAGAAGCAGCTGGGCAGGCCTCTCAGGAATGGAAGTCATAAATTCCAGGTGTTTGGCCCGATCAAATCCACTGGTACATAAAGTGGGCCGAAGCAGACGCACCACAGCCTTGTAGTCACCTGCCTCAAATAGCCGCTGAATCTCTTCCAGGGATTGGCATCTTTCCAAGGACTTCAGGTTCTTATCAATCTGAAAAAGGTCCAGAAATGTTGCCTGATGGCAAGCCCTTTATCTCCTCCCTGAATTGGGTCAAAGTTTGATTCATCCCATCCAGATGAGAAAGACAAGACTAGACTCTAGCATCCCACCCCAGCAAAATATACTAGGGCTCTCCCTTAATACACCAGTGTTCACACAATGTGCACACTCCTTCAAAAATTCATTACTGCCAAGCCATTCAATTCTTTAAAAGCAAACTCATTTAAACCCCTAAACCACTGCAGAAGCAGAGGTGCTCCAGAATGGCATCTGTCAGAACAGTGTGAAAGCCTCATGGTCATAGTTCAGCAAACCAGACTTGGAGAACCATGAACTGCCAGGCTGCCAAAGACTGAGCCAGGGGCTGACATACACGATTGATCCAGAGCCCCTTCTTCATATATGGCCTAATGCATCCCTGACACATAGGCAACTGAGCACCTGGTCTTACCCTGAAACAAATCTTGAAGAATCTAGAGACTACTTTTAGCCATGTGGATACATCACAGATGCAGAACTGCCACTCTGGCAGAGCAGAGGCAGTAAAGTGAGAAGAGTGCCCTCCAGAGGAAGCCTGGCACAGACACTGTGCAATGTTCTTGCAGCCCCACTGCCAGATCAGCAGTGGTCTGCAAGGCTGCATTTCCCTCCAGTTCTCCAATGGTTGCCACCACATACAACAGGAGAGCTGAGCAATAACTACTTCTAAACCATGCTGGTACAGGCTTCCCCACCTGCTGGCTGAACAAGCTTCCCATTGATGAGTATAACATCAAGAAGCCTGTGAGACTCTAGTGTGCCAGAGCTGTTTCCCTTTCTAGGATCTCTTACTCAGCAGGTAGTCAACGTTCTTATTCTAAGGAACAGGTTAGTGAGGGTCTGACTGACCCACTCAGAATAAATCTTTGACCAAGAAAACACCATTAAGAACTCCCATTTACCTCCTCCAGAGAAACAACAGAGTCATTGTGAAGGTTGGGCAGCCGGATGACAATGTTCCTATGCTCAGCCCCAGCCTCTGCCTGGATGGCACTAGAGCTCTGGAGCATTTCTGTACAGATGTCATAGTTCTCCAGGGCTTGCTCCATGTCTCCCTGGTCAGAAGGAAAACCAAAAAACAGGGGTAAAAATCAGAGAACTAACTGTGTTGTTCCAGGTGCCTTATAGTCCTGATCTCACTAGATTGTGGATGCCCTTAAGGTAGTTTTTGTGTGTTTGGTCTTTTGAGACAGGGTCTGATCTGATACTATGTAGTACAGACTGGACTTAAACTTGTAGTCTTCTAAGTGCTGAGATTATAGACATGTGCCAGGGCCAATGAGCTAAGGTTTTAATCCAATTATTGCTATATTCACCAAAAAGGACTTAGCACATAAATGGGGCAAAACAAATATTTGTTGAATGAGTAGGTAAATGAATAATCCACATCACAACTCTGTGAGACAAATTATCATTAACCTCATGTTATAGGTGAAGACACCAATGCCACCTGAGGAAGGCCAGGTGTCTGACAGACCAAGAGTTAAAATCAAGGCCTGTCCCAATTCTAGAACTGACATTCTTCATGTTAAACACTGTTGTTTCCCTCAGATTGATCTGCTGCTGCTGAGTCCAAGCCATCTACATTCTACCACTGCACCAAGTACCAATCGTGAACAAAAAAAAAAAAAAAAGTTCCTTTTGGAAAGTTCTGCTTCTATTCCTGTATTTGCTTACACTTTCTCAGGAAATGGTCAACATAAATAGTCAACCAAGGCAATCTTGAGTAGAGGACAAGGAGATTCCCTTCCAGAGCTCTGTGGCTTTACACACTGGTGGCCATGCTCAGACTTCTGACATGATGGCAATTCCTGACCATGTCCCACTTCTTCATCCCCAGCCCGGTGGCCTGGGAAGGAATTATGTATGTATGTGTCCTCAATATGGCCAATTCTCTGCCATCCCTGCCAGGTGCTAGGGCATGTTCTGACCATGGAACCAACCTGCAGTGCCAAGAAACGAGCCTTCAGCCAGTAAACACGGACAACAAACTCCAACCAGCCATCCTCAAACAGGTCTCGTTGGGATGAGGCAAATGACAGCTGCAGGAGGTCACCCAGGCAGTGGGTTCCCGGGAAATCAGGCCCAAACCTGCCTGTCACCACACCAGCAGGGCAGTTCCGAGGAGACACTAAAAACCATTAGGCCAACAAGACACCCTCATGTATAGCATCCAAATACTCTTTGGCTCCCCAGAAGCCACCTTTAGCCCTCCCCAAAGTAGCTTTTAGTCTCCAAGGTTAGGTATGGAGTTCCTCAGAGACTTAGAAGCCCCCTGAGCAGCAGGCAACATATATCAGACCCATGAGGAACAGATGCAGAGAACCTGAGAGCCGGGAGGAAGAGGACCACTTATGTTACAGACTGAACTTTGAGCTTATCTGCAGTTTACCAGGTGAAATTTAAAAGTCAGAATGGTCCATATCACCTGAGAAAATTACTTGAGACCATACAGCATTGAGCAGTCACTCCAAAGCTGAGATCCCACTTCCTTTAATCCCATGGAACAATAAAAATAGGCAAGATTATTGCTCCTTCTGCTGCTAGTCACCTCCTAAGTATCAGATTTCTCTAAAACTGAAATGCCATCTCAGAAAAGATGACCACTGAATTCCATGACCCAGTCTCCCTGCTTCTGCTTCCTCTAGCCTACTGGGGTTCAGAAATCACCATGCCAAGAACACAGGCATCTACTACCTGTAGAGCTTCTGCCTTTGGTCAGTAGCCACTGGTCCAGCTGGAGTTCCATGCAGGAAAGAGACATCAGCATCATGTCCTGCAGAACAGGCACAGGAAAATCAGAAATAAAATCACAAAAATTTGTCAAAGCATGAGGCGACTAAACTAAAATTTACTTTTGAGAGGAGGGGCATGGTCTCTGTATCCTAAGTTTGGCCCTGAACTCACTATGTAGCAAAGGATAACCATGAACTCCTGAACCTCTTGTTCCTACCCTCCAAGTGCTAGGATTACAGGCACGTACTATCACATTCAATTGTCTTAGAGCTGGAGATCAAACCCAGAGCTTTGTGTATGCTAGGTAAACACTATCAACTGAGCTATATGCTCAATCCCAAAATTTACTTTTTTAAACTTAAAATTTTTTGTTGATGTCTGCTTTTTGAGACAGGGTCTCACTATGTAGCCTTGCTGATTTGGAACTCACTATGTAGACCACGTTGACCTTGAACTCACAGAGATCTGCCTACCTCTGCCTCCTGAGTGCTGAGATTAAAGGCATGTACCACCATGCCCACCCAGCCCTTATTTATTTCTTTTTATTATTTATTATTATTGTGTAAGTGTGTATGTGAGTATATGTGTCTGATGCATGTGGAGGTCAGAGAACAACTCTGTGAAATTGGTCCTTTCCTTTCATCTGTACATGGGTTCTGGGGATTAAACTCAGGTCACTACGGCTTGCATGGCAAGTACTTTTACCTGCTGAGCCACCTCAACCAACCCTAAAACTTACTTTCTGATGAAAACATAATTCTTCCTTCTACCTGCTTTCTATTTCCTAAGTGATAATTGGTGGCTATTTCCCAGGAATTGAAAAAAAAAAAAAAAATGAAGCATGTGGATCTACCTATGGGTAAGACTGGGATAAGCAAGAGACATATCCTGTGGAGGAAATGGCCTGTCACCTGACTATATGCCAGGCCAAACTACTGGCATCCACCTATCAACACTCAAGTCCTAAAAGAGCAGGCATGTGGTGCATCATCCCCAGGACACTCAAGGAAGCTAGGACTCAGTGATGAGGCATTGTCAGCAGGCGCAGATGGGAAATAGCCTTATTTCATAGGGTCCAAACCTTGGCTCCTGCTGATTCACACTGTTCCTGGTGGGAGAAAAGGCCCAGTGGATGAAAGCTACCAAGAAGTATCTCAGGAGAGTCTGACAAGTAAGAGTGCACTGTCAATCCCAGCCAGGCTGTCAGCCAGAAAGATACTTGATGGACCCTGATGGCTCCCCCTTGCTCCCACCTCAGCACCTGGCACACTACCTTCAACAGGTGAGGTGGGCCTGAGTGCCTGTGTTCCCTGAGCTCTAGAAGGCACTAAAGCAGGAGCTTGGGATACAGAATGCAGCAGACTGCTGAGAAAGGCTCAGCCCAAGTGCTAGAGTCCCCTACCACTCTCCTAAGCACTCTACTTAGTCTCTATGCTTCTGTTTTCCCACCTGTTAGAAACATCAATAGAGCTAGGGATGTAGCTCTGTGGTTAGTGCTTGCTTAGCCTGCAAAAGGCCCCCACATTATGCATGCACACAAAAACATTTAAAAAAGAAAAGATTAGTAACAGTTCCTGGCATTTCAAATATAGCCAAATGTTTCCCTTCCCTTCTCCCAGCTTCTTCCAGCTGTCCCTCTCTCCTATCTCAGCAAACAACACAAGAAGCCTTCCCCATGGCTTACATTTCCTCCTATCCAAGTCTAGATACCTTGTAAGTTGTGCTTCCAGAAGCTCAACTCCACTTCGCTGTCACTAATAGTATCAATCACATGACTCACCTGGCAGCAGCCTACTGCCAGCCCCCTATATCCACTCTCCCCTACTAGGAATCTTCTCGGCACAAGGCAGGTCCTGTGACTCCCTGCTTCAAACCCTATAATAGCCTACATTCTAGACTCACAAGTATATGTAGCAAATGGACTGAACACATCAGCCGCACACCCTTTAAAGAACTCTGTCACTGTTTCCTGGTCCCACTGTAGCACTAGCCCTTGAGAAGCCCAACCTTGATGTGCTTGTTGCTGCAGTCCCTCAGCAATGGGTTGGGCAGGCTGGTGCTATGCCGCCTCCAGCTGTGGTAGACACTAAGCACGACTTCTGCCAGGCCTGGTGGCCACCTCAGCAAGAATTTGTGGCCCATGCCCTTCAGGTAGCGCATCATCAGCTCCAAGATGCCCCCGTTGGTCAGGTTCTCCATCAGGAACTCATGTACATCCTGCTTCTCTGTCCAGAGAAGGAAAATAACCTCACTGAGATGAACAAGATTAGTCTCCTTTCTCTTTGAAAGAAGACAACTTGTATGTCCCCCATTCCCCTCTGGTCAATCTAGCTAAACATGGGGCCACACTGCAGTGCTGAAGTCAAGATACCATAGTTCAGTGCCTGGCTCCAGTGCTTACCAGTAGTAAGCAAGCTTCCCAAAAATTGCATGTCTAACATGGGTATCAAAAGATGGCTCCAAGTGCTGCCATGTGCACTGAATAAGATAATACACACAAAACACAAAGTACAGTGTCTGGTACACAATATACACACATTATTATTAATGTGTGATAACACACATTAAACTTGCAGAATCAAGCCTCTGAATCCAGTCAAACACATAGCCTCAGGAGCACAGCAAGTATGTACCTGGACCTCCCAGCTGACCACATGCAGCTCCTTCACCAAAGCTTTTGAAACATCCCAGAAACCATCCTGTAGAGCAAACCCCACGCAGGTTATAGGATGGTAAGAGGAAGAATTTCCATCAGTGAGCAATCACATGACTGATTCCTACCAGATTCCATAAACGTGGCCGAATCAAAAGACAATCGATGAGGCCCCATACTTGAGAAGCTCTCCAGTTTGGCTTCCGACTGAACTTCGTAGTTATTAAAGGGATCATCTTCCTCCTCAGGATCCAGTTTTCTTAATCTGCATGGAATATGCTAAACATTACAAAAGCCATACCACTTGTTCTGACATAGTATCTGAACTCCATCTGATCCAGGATGAAGCAGACTAAAACAGATAGGTTCCAGAGCCCAGAGAGGTGCTGCTGGTGTCTGGTCTGCACTCATACTTGTTTTATTAACTCTCCTAGCAGATGACTACTGAGAAGCAGCCATGTGCCAGGCACTGAGTTAGGTGCCAGAATCCAGCCCTAAGCACAGAGACTCTGCTGACAAGAAGCTAATCTCTTAATGGGAGAGAAAGAAAATAAGCAGGTACTCAAACAATCCAAGTAAAGACCAACCACCAAGTGCTTGTGTGAGACAGATTCACAAGGGCCCTGAAAGTGCAGAATCAGAAAGAGATGTTCTTTCAGCTAGCTAGTCATACTAAAAAGCACAAGAACAGGTGCAAAGGCGCAACCCAGAAGAACACAGGCAGATGCTGTAGGGCCTTAGAGTTGCCCAGCAAACAAGTGGAGGAGTGGGTAAAAGTACAGGGACACATCAAGCCCATTTGAGCTTGATCCCTACATGACTCCTCACGCTGCGTTGACACTGAAGCAGCCAGCCTCTCCTAAAAGACATCACTCTTCAGGCTCCTCCTAAGGACCATGTTTTAGTCACTCTATTGGCTTTCTCTCAACCAGCACCTCTATAGTATAAACACTTATTGAACACAAATTCAGGAAGACTCCAGAGGCAAGCTATTAAGTTGTTCTTATCTGAGTACTCAAAGAAGCAAATATTAGAACCTCACAGAACCTAATTCAAATAAAGGAGACATAATTCCACATAAAGAGGCTGGGGAGGGCTGAATGAATAGTTCGGCTGCTAAAGGCTCAGGCTAACAACCAATAAAAGGGGCCAGGGAATAAGACCTCAGGGTACGACAGCAGGGCTAAAGCAAAGACACTCCACTGTTCAAGGCAAAATGGTTTCCTGTACCACATCTCAGGAGAAACCTATCGGGAGGTACTGCATCTTCACCTTGGCCTGCATTAGCTGTGTACTGAGAACCACCTCTAAGCATTCTACCTGCATGGGAGGGAGTGAGGGAAAGATAGAGACAGAGAGTAAGGGAGAAAAGGAGCAAAGGAGAAAGAGGGCTGGTTAAGAATCCTGCTGTAAACAGAAGACATTTTTAATTCTGCTAAAGCTTCTGAGCTTTGTTCCTCTTGTACTTTATGGAGTCATCACTGAAACTGTCACTGGTCAAAATAACAGCCTTTTTTTTTTTTGAGATAGGTCTCCCTATGTATCCCTGACTAGCCAGGAACTACTAAGTACACAAGGCTGGCCTTGAATGCAACAGATCCACCTCTAGAGTGCTAGGATTAAAGGCATTTGCTACCACACTGGGTAATTCTAGATCTCTCTCTTTTTAAAAGTATTTTATTTATTATTTTTACTTTGTGTATGAGTGTATTGCCTGCATGTATGTAAGTGCACCCATGCCGTGCAATGTCTGTGGAGGTCAGAAGATGGTGTTGATCCTCTGGAACTGGAATTACAAACGGTTATTAGCCACCATGTGGTTGCTGGGAACCAAACCTGGGTCCTCTGCCAAGCCATCTCTCCAGCCCAATTTTTTTTTGTCTTTTTGAGGCAGGGTCTCCCTGTAGCTCCAGCTGGCCTGGAACTCACTATGTAGACCAAGTTGGCCTTGAACTCACAGAGATTCACCTGCCTTGGCCTCCCAAGTGCCAGGATTAAAGGTGTACACCATCATGCTGGGCTAATTCTAAATCTCTTGATGGCATACTGATCATACAAGGATACTGCCCAAGCCCTATTCTAGTATCGATGAAGGAAGAAGAGGTATAAACTCACAAGAGACAGGAAATGAGAGAGGAAATCCTAGCTTTCCAAAAGAATAGAAGAAGAAAAAGAAGTGCCAACCAGATCAGATGTTATAAAGGAGAAAGCTAATGGACCAGAATTATTTACTTTCACTCAACTAAGTGTGGAGAAATGGGGTACAAAAAAGCACACCCACTGGCAATATCCCAGAAAGGCTCAGGATAGAGAACCCTGAGGCCTATGAAGAAGAGACAGCAAGACCAAAATGCGGGAAGATCAATGAGAACTTAGGTCAGAAGTACTGAGGCCCAGGTCTCTCCTACCTCTAGAAGCCTCACACCTTCTCTCCTAGGCTTACCTGAGGGACATGAAGAACCAGTGAAGTTAAGGAACATGCAATTCCTCCATCTTCTCAGAATACAATGGATTTGTGCCAAGCATAAAGAACTTCAGAGCCTTTGATGAGACCAGAGAGCACTGCATGTCTATGCCTCCAACTCTGATGGGTTCAGAGAATACCTCAGGACTAGGCCCCTGTCTCCTGAGAGCACCCTGGGACCAGGCCTCTAATCCCAGTAGCCTCAGAATTCAATGCAGGTCCCAACCTTCAGTGCCAGTGTGCCCAAGGTTTCCTGAGAAACTGGAGCTTTGACTCCAGTGGTTGCTAAGGTCAGTGTGAGTTTTTAACTTCTGAGGTTCCAGTAGTTACTGCAGGAGTATGTTTCTACATTGCTGTGGTCCTAGAGGTTACTTCTGGCCTACGGCTCTAACCACAGCCCCCCAGAGAGAACACAGACTTCACTGGATCTGATGTTAAGTATCCTGCCCTAAGATGGCTTACAGACTCCAAGGGATGACAGGGTTTTTACTCCATCTGGTTGTCAGAGTTCTTAGTGTGTAGCCCCACCCTTGGTCCAGTTGGCACACAGTCAAGACAGAATTACCTCAGTGACTCCATTAGACAACCAGCACCAAGTTTCATCAGTCTCCATAGCTGAATTTCATGCAGATATCCCTCTAGGAAAAGTCATAGAAAGTCAAACATCCAAACAGACTCCGAAGAAGAGAAAGTCAAAACTGATAGACAAACCCACCCCATCAGATGTACAAAACATAACAAAAAATTTGACACAATCACTAACCGTGACTCATCCCCAACTGAGTAACTCCCCTATAAAGGAATCCAATCAACTACAGAGTCAGCTGAAATGTCTGAGAAAGAATTCAGAGTTTACTTTTTAAATTAAGTAGTAATCTTATAGAAGAATCAAATAGACAGATGCCATGAATTAAGGAAATCTACCCAAAACCTTGACAAGACAGTGTCCAAACTGAACCAAACTGTCAGAACATTAGAAGCCAAAGACCAAAATGTGGAGGAAAAATTCAGCAAGGAGATTGAAACACTGAAGAGGAGCCAAACAGAAATATCTGAAATGAAAGAGATGGGTCAATCCAATAAAAACCACAAGAAGATACTATCATTAACTAACAAGACCATGCAAAAGAATGAATTTCAGATAGAGGAAAAAGTTGAGACACTAATAAAGACATATATAAGGAAAAAAAGTAAGGAGCTTGAACAAAATATCTAAGAAGTCTGGGATACATTCAAAGGCCAAACCTGAGAATTCATGGCATAGAAGAAGGAACAGAGATAAAAGTAAATGAGACAGACTATTTAACAAAATTATGAAAGAAAACTTCCCCCAAATAGACATTCAAACAGAGTTCTGGTATACAGAACTCCAAATAGACATGACCAAAGAAACCCTCCATGACACATCATCGTCAGGATGTCAGATGCATTTATTAATAAAGGGCACAATTCATCAAAAAGATATAACAATTGTAGACATTTATATACCAATACTGGAGCCCCTAATTTCATAAAACAAACACTAAAAGGCATAATAAGCCATATAGGTCCTGACACAATAATAGGGAGCAACTTCAATACCCATATTTAGATAGGTCTTCCAAACTAAAGACAAGAAATTTGCCAGGTGTGGTGGCACATGCCTTTAATCCCAGCACTCAGGAAGCAGAGGGAGGCAGATCTCTGTGAGATTGAAGCCAGCCTGGTCTACATAGTGAGTTCCAAATCAGCTAGGACTACAGGAAGACCCAGTCTCAAACAAAACAAAACAAAACAAAACCTTGGTGTTCAATACACTATGGATCAACTGGACTACTGATATGCACAGAGTATTTCACCCAGTGGCACATGGAACCTTCTCCAAAACTAGTAATATCACAGGACACAAATCAAGTCTACACACACACACACACGCACGCAAGCACGCACGCACTCAAGATCATTCCTTGTGTCCTATCAGACCACCATAGACTAAAAGTAGAAATCAACACTAAGAGAAACTGCAGAAATCACAAAATTCATTAATGCTTTTTTTTTTTTTTTTTTTTTTTTTTTTGTCTTTTTGAGACAGGGTCTCCCTGTAGCCCCAGCTGTCCTGGCACTCACTATGTAGACCAGGCTGGCCTCGAACTCTTAAGAGATCACCTGCCTCTGCCTCCCAAGTGCTGGGATTAAAGGCGTGCGCCACCACGCCCGGCTTAATTAATGCATTTTTAAGTGACCAGAGGGCCATCCAAGGAATGAGAGAAGAAATTAAACTCCTAGAGGCAAACAGTAATGAGAACACAACCTATCAGAACCTCTGGGATGCAGTCAAGGCAGTCCTAAAAGGAAATTTTATCGCAATAAGCACTCAACATTGAAAAAAAAAAAATGTGAGGGGCTGTAGAGATGGCTCAGCAGTTAAGAGCACTAACTGCTCTTGCAGAGGACCCAGGTTCAATTCCCAGTACCCACATGGCGGCTACAAACCATCCTTAACTCCAGTTCCAAGGGAATCTGAAGCCCTCTTCTGACCTCCCAGGCATTGCATGACACAGGTGCACTCACATACATGTAGGCAATACACTTGTACACATAAAATTAAAATAATTAATTAATAATTAAAAATCTGAGATAACAAATGATCTAATGACACACCTCAAGACTCAAAAAATAGCAAACATCCAATCCCAATCACAGTAGATGCAAGAAATAATAAAGATTAGGGAAGAAATTAATGAATTAGAGACTAAAAGAACAATACACAAAATTAACCAAAGACATGGTTCTTTGAAAAAGTCACTAAGATTGACAAACCT